CCCATCTGCAAAAAATATGACCATCGCTATGGCTTGACCTACTCTAGATTTTCTCTGTAAAATTTCCTAGTGTAGATCAGGACTCAGTGTAACCAATAAATTCCCTGTTCAATATGATATTTACATTAGTCTCACTTAATGCTTAAAAAAATGTTTAAAGAAACATGGAATACTCCCAAACATAGGGACCAAGTCCATGGGTGCTCCAGGCTCAAGCACCCCTGGAAAAAATAGGGGGCACTCAGCACCCACTAGTCACAGTGGCTCAGCAGGGTCCCGGGGTTGGCTGCCAATCAGCTGTTCGGCAGAGCCCCAAGGCTAGCCACCGATCAGCTGTTTGACGGCCTGGGGGAGGGGGTAGAGGGAAGAGAAGGGGATGGGGCAGGGGACAGTGGGAAGAGGAAGGGGAAGAGAGTGGGAAGAAGTGGGGACTCTGGGGAGGGGGAACAGTGGGGGTGGCAAGAGATGGGGTGAGGGCGGGGCCTCAGGAGAAGAGGTGGATTGAGGGCAGGGCCTCAGGGTGGAGCAGCGGTGGAGCACCCCCTGGGAAAAACAAAAGTCAGTGCCTATTCTCCCAAACCTGGTACAACAGAAAATCCAAAACTTGTATACCAACCAGCCTTATGCTAGTTTACAAAGGCAAACCAATTAAATCAAAAACACACTCACCAGTGACTGTTCCAAGCAGGGCCGGCTCCAGGCACCAGCCAACCAAGCACGTGCTTGAGGCGGCACCTTGTAAGGGGCGGCCAATCTTGGGGTGGCGGGGCAGCGCTTGGGTTTTTTCTTTGTTCTGTTTTGGCAGGGCAGCGCTCGGGGCTTGTTTTTTTTTTTTTGGTTTGATGGTGCGGCGCTCGGGGGGGTTGTTTTTGTTTCGGCAGGGAGGCGCTCGGGGGGGTTGTTTTTGTTTCGGCAGGGCGGCGCTTGGGGGAGGGGTTGTTATGGCGGGACGGCACTTTTTTTTTTTCCCTTGGGGTGGCAAAAAAGTTAGAGCCGGCCCTGCTTCTAAGGCTTAGCCCCTGTCTTCACTGCAACCGTAAATAAGTCAGGAGACCCAGTTACAACATGGACAGTCCAAGGCTTTAGTCCATTTATGGGGACACAACTAGGTCCCCATACTTATTTTAAGTATGTTGTAACCAGTGTTACACAATGTTACAGTGTGCACATGAGCACGAGCCAGAGAGGTTAAGATAGACAGTCTGCAGTCACACAGAGAGCAGCTTCAGATTAAAATCTTTACATACACCTACAGCTCTTGCCAACCAGCTCACCAGGGAACAAACCAACAACTCCATTAAACCCCAAAACACTGGCCTAGGTTCTTCTATGTGGCTACTTTGCGCTACTCGTCCAGCTCAAAACAGCCTTACAGCTAGAGTAGCCAGCAATGGAAGAATAACCTCAGTTAGGAAGATCTTCTGATGGTGTAAAGTTGGAATAGCACTCTTATGCTACCCCTTACCCCATCTCTGAAGGGATAGAAAAGAAGATGAGGAACAGGAAATAGAACTCAAGTCAAGCAAAGAACTAGAAAACCCACAAGCAGAACAGAACCATACAGCCTTGAAATGATAACTGTGGACAGTGAGAAGCCAGGCACATTTGCAGCAAGATCCCTGACACACTAACTATGCTGGCAAATGGAGCAGGCATTTTGCTGTCTCTCAGCCTATGCTTTAGAACCTGCTCACATTAAGAGAGGGAATGCTGACCAGGATGCAGGGATCTCTCCCTGTACTGTTTGATCTTATACTTGACCTGGATACTCACCAGAGACGAGTGAAAGAAATCCTATTTTCATTTCTCATCCAAAAGTTATGTTTCTATTTTAGTACTAAAGAGACTTGTGTGAAGTGTGGGGGATGGAGGCATAGATGGGGACAGTTTAATGGCAGATATCTGCACTGCCATGTGGAAGACTCATCTGCCCAGCAGGACCTA